ATCCTTATATTATTTTTCTAAAAAAATCCTTTTATTCCTTTTAAAATTTATTTATATTATTTTATAATAATTCTAAATATATTTTTATCTAATCTAATTTTATTTCTTTTTTAATTCAATTATATTTCTAATCTCTTAATTCAATCAATAACCCTAACCCTTAATTAATCAATAACCCAAATCCCATAATTAATCAATAAACCCGAAACCCTTAATTTAATCATAAAACCCAAATCCTTAATTTAAATCAAATAAACCCTAAATCCTGAAATAAATCAATAAAACCCTAATCGTGAATAAACAATAACCCTAATCTTATACAAAGTCAATAACCCAAATCCCTAATTAATCAATAACCCAAAATCCCTTAATTAATCATAACCCTAAGCCCTTAATTAATTAATAACCCTAATCCTTAATAAGTCAATAACCCTAATCCTAATAAATCAATAACCCTAATCCTTAATAATCAACAACCCTAAATCCTTAATAATCAATAACCCTAATCCGTCAATTAATATTAATTCTAATTCTTTAATAACAAAATATTTTTTCTTTTCTTATTCAAATCCTTAAATATATTAAATATATTATCTCTAATTAAATAACTCCCTATTTCAATTATTATTTTAAATATTTAAATTATATCTATCCCTAATCATTTATATAATATAAATTTATATCCCTAATCCCCTAATAAATTTATATCCCTAACCCCTTAATAAATTTATATCCCTAATCCCCTAATAAATTTATATCCCTAATCAGTTATATAATATAAATTTATATCCCTAACCCCTTAATAAATTTATATCCCTAATCCCTTAATAAATTCTTTATTCTAATCTCTTTATAATTTCTTTTAATTTCAATCTTTCTTTATTTCTTTTATATCTCTCTCTTTTTCTCTTTTTATGATTATTAATATTATTTTTCTTTTTATTTTTTTCTTTTTTCTTTTTACTTAATTCAATTCTATTCTTTTTCATCATTATTATTATCATTTTCTTTTTAATCATTTTCTTATATTTATTTATTTTTATATACTCTAAAAAATTTATCTCTAATCTCACTTTATTTCTTATTAATATTTTACTTCTTTTTTAAATTTATTTTTATAATAATATTAATATAACCCTAAATTTATTTTATTCTTTTTTTATTCTTTATTTTAATTCCTAAAAATCTTATTAAATATTATTAATTCTTATTCTTTTCATTTCTTTTTATTATTATTATTATTCCTTATTCAATTATTATCATATTATACATTTTATTATCTTTCTAAATTTTATTATAACTCTAAAAAATTTTACTTTTCTTATTATCAATATTATAATTCTCTTTTAAAATCAACCCTATTTTATTTTATTTTTATTTTTATTACAATTATAATTATATAATTCTTTTTTATTTTAAATCCTTAAATATTCAAATTTTATTCTTTAAAATTATAATTCTTAAAATTCTTAATAACCCTAACCCTTTAATTCATTAATAACTCTAATCCTTTAATTCATTAATAACTCTAACCTTCAATTCATTAATAACCCTAACCCTTCAATAAATTAATAACCCTAATCACTTTATAAATAAATAACCCTAACCTTTTAATAATATCTTTTCTAATATCCTTTTTAATTTCATTTATTTAAATCAATATCTAATATCTTATATCTTTATTTTATATTCATATTTTATATTATATTTATTTTTCAATCTTTTTTTTTTAAATTTAAATTTTCAATATTAAATTTATCTTTTAATACCCTTTTTTTCAATTATTAAATTAATATTTTATAACCCCATATTTCTTATATTAATCTTATAATAAATTAATAATCCTAATCCTTTAATTATCTTCTTTAATTTAATTTCACTATAAAAATCTTATTATTATTTTAATTAATTTAATTTCTTTAATTTTCATTTATTTCATTTTTATTTCAATTAATAATATTATTTTTAAAATATCTATTTTTATTTTATTTATCTAAATTAATATCTAATATATTATATTTTTTAATTTTTTAAATTTTCATTTTCTATATATTATATTTATTTTTCAATCTTTTCTTATTTTATTTTTTAATACTTTTTCTCCAATCATTAAAATAATATTTTATATTATATATTTCTAATACTAATCGTTTCAAAAATTTATAATTCCAACCCTAAAAATTAATAACCCTAATCCTTTAATTAATTATCTTTTTAAATTTTATTCATTTTTAAAAATATATTATTATTATTCTAATTAATTTAATTTAATTTTTTTTTTCTTTTTTATTTTTTTTTAAATCAATATCTTTTATCTTTTTTATTATTAATATTATTATTTTCTTCTAAATCTTTTTTTTTTCTCTTTTTTTTATAATTCCCTTTTTATTTTATATTAATATTTTAATCTTATTATTCATTAATAAATTTTATTTTTATATTAAACCCTAAACCTTACTTTTATTATTTATTCTTCTTCTTTATAAAATTTTATTTATTATTATAATTAATAAATCTTTTATTAAATAAAATTCTTAATCTTAATCTTTTTATAAAATCTTTATATTTATATTAAATAATAAATCTTATTTCTTTTTCAATTAAATCCTACTTTTATTATTTATTATATTTATACATTCTTTTATTACTTTTTAATTTAATTCTAACCCTAAAAATTAATAACCCTAACCCTTTAATAATATCATTCTTTAAATATACTTTTTTATTTATTTAAATCAATATTTAATATCTTATATCTTTAATTTATTTTTATATTATATTTATCTTTCAATCTTTTTCTTTTTTATTAAATTTATTTTTCAATCCTCTTTTAATTCAATTATTAAATTAATATTCTATATTATATACTTTTAAACCCTAATCCTTTAACAAATTAATAATTTTAATTCTTTAATAAATCCCTAATTCCAATTTATAACCCTAATAATATTCATAATCTTTAATTAAATACTCTAACTCATTTTATATTTTCAATTCAATATTTATTATTTCAAATCCTAATTTATTCTTCTAAATTTAATAATTTAATAATAATCCTAATTCTTAACCCAATTATTAATTTCAATTTAATTTTTTACTTTTCTTTTTTAAAATTATTTAATTCTATTAAACCCTATTTTTTTTTAATAATTTTTTTCTAAATCTATATTTCCTTATTCTATAAAATTCTTTTATTATCTTTTTAATATTATTCTTTAATTTTAAATCTTACTTTTATATATTCTCTTATTTCATTCTTTAAATATTTCATTAACCCTAATTCCTTTCTTATTATCTCTTAACCCTAACCCTTAACCCTTACCCTTACCCTCACCCTTTTTAAAATACGTAGCGGTTCTTAATCATTTTAAAAATCTCTTCCAACTTTAACCCTGATCTCTTACTTTATTACTAGAACCCTTTATTCATTATTTTATTCTTATCTTATTATTATCATTACTCTATTCTAATTCCCTTAATATAAGAGCTGCAAACCTTATTCCCGTAAACCCATTCATTCCCCTCCAAATCAGTCCTCTCCCCAAGCCAAATCATATACGCAAGAAGATCTTCCCACGTTCGTTCAAAATGCCTCTCGAGCCATGCCACCCCCCCCCACCCTCTTATATGCCGCCACGCAAATGGGAATCACCATGTTCGGAAATCGACACTCGCTCTCTTCGTGATCAGGATCGGCCACTCGACAGATATCTTGTGGGTTGATAACAATTCCAACACACGATGTATCGTGGCATCCAATCTCTCTCGTCAAATTGGCACGCTTGTAGAGCTTCCCCCTTAGCATTAATCCAATCAAATCTTCGAGAGCATTGTGAAGAGAGGTGATCGAAGCGACGATGGTGAATTCGACAGTAGAGACAAGAATCCTGAAAGGTTAGGAGATCCTGCTCGTATCGATCGAGGATTTGATCCTGTCGAAAATCTTGAGTGTGAATCTCTCGAGGGCCAGTGGATTCAATTTCTATAGTAGATGGATTTAAAGTGTATATCAAATGAGGGGGGCGAGGTTCCTCATGAGGTTCCCTACACACTTGACAGACCTCATCACTTGACATGCACCAACGCCAATCCGAAGGCCGATCGAGGAATTGACTGAGGACGCCACGTGAGCAATATTGTTGAGTGAGGTAGAGTTGCATGGTAGCTTGATCGGGTGGAAGAAAGGTATCACGTTGAGGTCTCCAAGTCGAATTTAACAAGATGATGGAGGAAGCTTTCCTCCCATCGCGTCCCGCCCGACCGGATTCTTGAGAGAAAGCCGTCACCCGCTCTGGAGCATCGAGGTGAATGACCCATCGAATGTGAGGGTAATCAAATCCAATCCCGAGAGCGGACGTAGCAGCGATCACGGGTTGCTGAGGATTGGAGAGCCACCGTTGAATGATCTCCCCCTTCTCGCGAACCGTCCCGGATTCTGATGTGTACAGAGGACAATTCATCAATTCTGCTACCCGCGCCAGCAACATCACGAGTGCGACAGTAGATAATAATCTTATCACAACTTTGATCAAAGATATTAGGATCGGGCCAACACACTTCAATTAACTCTCTCTCGCTTTCTCCATCAAAGAATCAACTCCATCTCCATAACTAACAAGATATTGAAGGTTAGATCGATTGGTCGACTCTCGAATGATTTGAGGGCAAACCAATTTGTTCTGTTCGATGAATAATTCTTCCATCACCGGAGGCAAGGTGGCAGATAGCCAAATGGATTGAGTACGAATTTGTCGAATGAACCACCCAACTTGCGTCATGCAAGAGCGATACTCACTCGTAGTAATGGTAAGGTGACACTCATCCATGATGATGCGATCCAATTTCTGTCGAAAGACTAGCCCTTGAGCGTATTCCAAAAAGCTATCGTTGCAAACCGCTTCAGCCGATACGATCACCAATGGAGGGGTTTCCCGACACTCCACCGACCACACGACCGAGGGAATCCCAACTGCATTAAAACGTTTGATCATGTCAATCCGCAAGGCCACCATAGGAATGATCATGATGGTGGTGCTAGCGTCCGCAAGGCTAGCGCTGAGCATAGGAATTAAGGTCTTGCCGGAGCCGGTTCCCAAGATCAAGATGACTTGTTCGTGAAAGGTAGTTCCAAAAGTAGTCAACACCCCACGACGTTGACCAGGTTGACGAAATTGAAAAGTGACAGAAGGGAATAATCTTTGAGCCACTTGAAGTAAATCCTCTTCCGAGTACCCTTGCCTCTGACGAAATCGACTTCGTTTCGCGGCTCGCAACACTAGAGCATCCGATGGACTCGAGGCTCGCTTCCCTTGCAGAACGAAATCGAATCGAAAGAAGGAATGCCAACTAGCCGAAGCCCGAAAGCCTCGATGCAACATAGTATTCATGGTGAGATTGGTCGTTCCAGCGTAAGCTACATTGAAGGTTTGAAAGCTGTGATTGCTAAATTCGGCCAACGCCCTCAAATCGGATTCATCTTCAACAAATTCACCAGGAGTATGGTCCAGATCAAAGTTGGCTTGTTCTCTCGTAGTAAACTTCTCTTTCGTGATGGAAGCAGCAAATTGTCGCCAATTGGAAGTGTGTAGTATCGAAACCTGAGCACGTTTACATGCTTTCCGTAAGCAAGTCGAAATAACTCCATCTACCCACACAGTCCCTTGAAGATTGGACCAGAGGTACGGGGATATCAAAGCGGTCGGATTTTCTTGTCGAAGAAAGATTTGTCGAAGGGGAATAACATATGCAATATAAGTAAGTAATAAATTCCCAATAGCTTTCGGGAGAAATCGAATATTATTCTTGTATGCACCAGATTGTTGTTGTCCTTTGTGATATTGGGTATAGATCATCACCAACTTTTCCCAAATATAAATATGTCGCTGTCGTTCCATATTCCGCCACGTGATAGAAAGCAATTCGGGCTCTCGCAGAGGTGGACCAGGAGCAATGTGACAGAGGATCAAGAGTCGCTTTAAGAATTCCTGAGCTTGCACTTCATATATCTTCATAGCTTTCGAACACAAGATTAACCCTCCCTCTTGATCAACCTTGAAGAAAGTGGTGTGCAATTTAGTGTTCGTCTTGATGTATCGAAAAAGCCTCAGATCTGCCCCTTCTAAAAATTCCGAATTGTGTGAGTGGGAGAGCCAAGAATCCCCAAAATCCTCGGAATCCAGATCATCCTTCATCCGCCACGAAACCATCGAAATTAAATCTTGCATGCCAAATAACAATTCATCGTACAGGAGAGAGTGAGCTTGTTGAAATTCCGAAAGCACCACGTTCGAAATCTGTTCCATGGATATTTCTACCCCGCGATACCCCACAATCTGTCGATCCAAAGACCATCGAGCTTGGTGTTTAGCAATGGAAGCCTTACTCACCTTGAATAAATATAAACGCCACTGAAGAATGTAACCGAAGGGGGTCTCGGCTAATTGTTGAAAGAACTTCTTGCAGAGCGTGGTGAGGAGAATGGGAATTTGATCTTCGTCCTCTTGCTCTTGAAAACAGACAAAACCAAAGAGGATCAGTTGCGCCGTCCACGTGAGAGCCGACAGGTAACTATTAAAATTTCCTGGCTCTTCCCACAATCCCCGCCCATAAATCATGCGACTCTTCATAGCACAAAAACTCAAGACCGGTGATTTAAACGGTGCACTTCCAATCGAGTGACAAATCAAGGCTAGATATAATCGTCGAATAGCATGCTTCAAAGCTAATTCAGATTCTTCGGGATCTTCCATATTCAAGGCTTCCATGATAGCATCCATCGCACGAATTTGGGTTGAGGTCGGTTCGATAATATCACGTGGTAATGATTGATCCGATTCCGTGGCGGTGAAAAAGCCATCCTCCGAATACACCACTCGATAATAATATACCAAGAGTTGTTTCCCGATCAGGAAGTATTTGACCAACGTCGAAGCATTCTTGTGATATCGGAACCCATCCGCCTTGCCACTCGCTCCGGAATAAAATTCATTGAGGATGTTAGCTCGCTGCTGAGTCATCTTACGATCGGGGGATGTATCAGAGCACAATTGATAGGCATCTCGCATCATAGCTTCGGCGGCATGGAGGATGCGAACAAGTTGAGGATCATCCGCTTCAAGGTAATCTCCATCCAATTCCTTCTTCGATGGGAGCTTATACGAAGCCCAAATCTCCTCGTCTTTTAAATGAACTAAGTGAAAAGGGAACTTGGTGACGTCGTGCAACCACGGTACCCTCTCGGAGCGAGATTCCTTAATGTCCCGAACGACGCCAGCTGCCTTGAAGAGATCCTTTTTGACATTCAACGCATCTTGCTCAATCTGATCAATGGAATCCTTCTCCGACCGGGTTAAAGGGATCACATCGCCATTTCCACCATGGGGCCCAGGATTTGCAACAACCACAAAGTAATCAACATACCTCGGTGCAGTAAAGTACGTTTGGAGTAAGCATGCCTGCCATAGCGGGGTCGCTTTGTGCTCGCTCGCTTTCCGGCCATGAGTCACCATGTGATCCCGCATTCGTGGGAGGTGAGTGGTTAAAAAGGATGGATCGCATGATAAACACTGAAAGCCGTGGAAGACTCTGAGATGCTCTAACTGCGCAGCCCTACGCGCAGGTTTGTCTTCTCGCAATTGACGCTTCGTCTTCAGACTTAACGATTGAGCGTAGCTCAGTTGAGCTTTCAAAAGATCACCTGACAGGCGGTGGGGTTCGGCTCGGAGGTGTTGCGCGATACTTCGGGCCCCTGGAGCGATGCACGTCTGGCACTGTGTGCAGATCAGAACCTGGTGGTCAGAGTTGTATGCGAGGGTCGCAGGCCATGCGGAATGGCAACGAGACGTTCTACGGTTGCAAGATCGGGATGGGAGGCGGGGATGAGGAACCCAAGAAATCCCCTTTTGTGAAATCCCTTTTATAAAATCATGTGGGGGTCGTGTGGGGTCTTGGGGTTATGTTCCCAGACAAATAACGGCCGTGCCCTCCTTTTATGCCATGAAAGGGCCCTCGCATAAGGGGTAGGCTTGAAGATATGTAATTTCTATGCTATTCTTAGGGTTAAACCAAAAATGTAGATTAATTTAATATACATTCCGGCGGAAAGTAATAATGATATATACCCTCGGTTTAATTAATTAATTTAATTATAATTAAACAATATAGATTCAAAGCGGTTAAATAATATAAATAGCAACGACCCAGTGATCTTGGAGACCTGGTGATAAACCACGTTATTCTTTTTCTTTTATAAATATTCTTTATATAGATTTCGAAAGGGAGTTATAATAATGAGTATATAAGGTGAATTGGTAATTACATATATATCAACGAGAGGTGGTATTATAGTCTACGTCGAATTACCTTCTATTACAACTCAGTAAGCTACTAGTAATGATAGTTACAATTCAAAACGGCAAACTAAGATAAAGGTGACCTAATTCATGCCTTCAAGCCATATCATCTCATCTACTTCCCCACAGAACGAATCTTTAAGAGCAACGGCTTATGCGACCAGACTAGTCTTACTCTAGCACCATCTGTTAAACCATCCTCGGGATCAGCTAATTCAAAATCAAAGTTGTAGATGTATCGAGCCATTAGAACTCTGGTGACGGCATGTGCGACGCTAATTAGCGGGTTTAGTTAGTTATTTTACTTGATTGAGGAATGATTTGGAGGGGAATAGCTTACTTTTGTCCCATACACTCTCTAGGACCATGACTGAAAGGCTTGAAACAAGCTCTATTATCCGTTTCGAATTCAGACGCACCCATCCATCGCTCGGGTACGAAATCATCTTGATAGCGATGCAAGTGTTAGCTCTCCGTATGTCAATAATCCTCTTCAACATCTTAGAAAGAAAATCAATCCCGATTATTACATACCAGGCCTATTCCAATTCCTCTCCGAATGATACCCCGCCCAATGCGGAAACGAAACCAACGTATTGGGGGGGACATAATTCCCCGCAATAGTCGCACCTTCTTTCCCGACTCTTCTTGGATGATTTCCCGGAACGGGAGGATGCATTCTCAAAGCTTCTTTAAGAACCGCCAATAAATATGGTTTATCGAAAACACTACTTATCTGGATTTCATCTTCAGAATTGAAACTACTTCGTATTTCGTGCTTGAGTTTCGCGTATATAGATGGATTTTTGCAAAGATGATATATAGCTCCGATAGGAAGTGTGGCGGTTGTGTCTGAGGCGGCGGTCACGACGATTTCCAGACTTCTTTGGAGCTCGCTGAGGTTGATGCCACCGGGTCGGTCGAGGTAGGGTAAGGCGTGGGTCATGCTGGCTTATGGTTAGTTTCATTGTTAAATCATCGGGGTAATGAATGAAAACGTACAAATCTGGTTCCGTATCTTGAGCCTTTCTTCTTTTTTCCAATAGCTGATTCAAGAAGAATACATGTTGCATTCGTAACGAAACGGCTTTGGTCAGATAGGGAATATAAGTTAAAATTTTATTGAAGGGCCAGATTCTCTTCGATTCGTGGAAAACTGTAAAAGCAGTGGACGTATTTATACCAATGCCAATCCTATCCAGCATATCAGTATAACAAGTCACACGATAAAGAAATACACGGACTAGGCAAATACTAACCATTTATGATCCTCCCCCTTCTCCACACCCTTAAAATTCTCCCCGAAACACAAATCCGCAACAATATCATACGCGATCAAATAATTCCATTTCGCAATATCTGTGACCCCACCATCTTTCGCAATCTCTTTCAAATTGTTCATCAACTGATCCATAAATCGCCTAACTCTTGGTTCCTGTTCCCGTTGCGCTTTCTCGGTAAATCCATTTCGGAGAGACTTGCGAATTCGTTGATGCTCCTCGTGAACTGGATGATCGAAAAGACTCTCTGTACCTGGTTGAGGAACATAATTTCCTTTGGGCATTTCGGGTCGTCCGGGCTTTTTCGCATAGATATCTGTCCATGCTTCGGGTGTGATGAATGACAGCTCGTTGGGGGCGGAACGGACTATTGGGCCGTATTTTTCGTGCGCGCTTTTCAGGCGGAGATACACGAGGCCTTGAATTCGGCCAATACTGTTGGGGAAGTTTGTAAATGCCCATAGTCTGGGACCGGGATATTTGGCTAGTCTATTTAATCATGTTAGCAGGTATGATTCTATGAAGCCCCTAGATATTGGGGTTTATCTTCTTGGTACATACGGATGGAAGTATAGGTTGTAGATACCATTCATCAAGATTATAGTGATGATTGTCTACGGAGAAAAGGTTAGAGTATTTGAAGTAGCACAATGGTAAGCTTCCACTCACGAATACTAAGACGCCGCAAATGGTGAAAATTCCATGTTGAATGGATGGAACTGGTACTGCTGACCATTCGAAGTCTTGTATTGAATTCACCAGTTTAGACGCCATGCCTGGAAAAGTCTTTAGCTGGCAGGTCTTCTAAACTATCACAACTATAGGTATATATTTGTAGCGAATTGTTGGATATATGCATAGAAAAGGCGATCAGCTAAGAGTTTTGAAAAGAGCATTACACATAACGTGGTTTATCAGTGAGCGGGTTATATCAGTGAACGGGTCACTCATTTTATATACAAAATTCATTTGTACGTCACTGTGCACTTTCTTTATATAATAATATAATTTAAAGAAATTTGAAAATATTGAGATTTAATTATATAAATATTATAAAAATCTAATTATTTATTAAAAAATTAAATTACTATAATAGTTATTATAAAAATAACTTTTTTGTAACGAAAATCATAACAATTTCTACTTTTATTAGAATATAATAGAAATATTTATAAAAAAACTAGATTTATAAAAAGCTAATTTTTTATTGTTATTGAAAATTCTTTTCCCTTTTCAAAATAATAATTAATTATTAAAATAAGAATATTAAAAAAAGGCTTAATTTTGGTGTATTTTAAAGTGACCCGTTCACTGATATGACCTACTCGCTGATAAACCACATTACCACAAATACTACTCAAAATTGCAGCACTCCGAGGCAATTCGGTCTCCGATCTTCGTTTGCGGAAAGTGCGATTAGTGGGGCCAACTCTAAACAGTAACCCCCATCAGATCCTCCGAAATCGTATAACTGAACTAGGTTCGTTTCACCTCATTCTGAGCTCAGTGGACCCTCCTCAAACCTATCTGAAGACACCAATCAAGTAGGGCGGCATCATACACAAGTGATTATTGGTCGCTAAACCCGAAAGGAAATATGAGAGTTTAATCAAGCCCCTGCATACAGAAGTCAAATTAAAGTTTGAGCTTAGGTAAATACCTCCACAATATAGAGGCTCCGGCGACCGATGAACAACCGGATAAGGATGAATTAATTAATTACAAATCTCTCGAAATTTTGCAAACGCCAGAGAAGAATTGCAATTGAGAGACGTTAAGGGATGTATTGAAAGTCATCGGAGGCTTCAGTGTAATCGTTAATAGCGTGGTTTTGGTCCACGTTGAACCTCCACAGGAAAGTTGAAAGATTCTTAGCTGAGAGATCTTCACCTCATGAGACAATGGATAACAGTTCATTAACAGAAGAAATCAACAAGCGGTTCGGCCCGTCAATGATAGCTCTCCTACTCCAGTTGAGGCCCATCTCGTGTGACAATATATTCGTCATCCGTCTTGCTGCGTACCTTCGGACCGATCGTAGATGAGCTGCTCCTGATTAGCCAGGGTTCAGAAAGCATATCTTGTAGGTTCAAGTAGGTCCCAGTTCACATCCACTCATTACATACTACTCATGATTTTGCACACCTCGAGAAAATCAACCTCAATATCACATTTCTTCCCTAAACTCATTATCAGAAATCCTTTCCAGTCATGCTTTCGAAGTCAACACCGAACGACTGCTCGGAAGAGTATTTATTTCCGTCCTTAAAGGTAGCACAAGAACCGTCAGCAGTTGACTCAGCATTGCCCGCTATTTACTCAAGACGAGTCCTGATTTTCTCGACAAATGACAATTATGGCATCTCGGAAGCAATTGGAGCCTTATGCAAAGCAATGAAAATGCTCGTAGAGCGGTATTCCGTACTAGGCAATAGCTTGAGCTGTGTGTCGGGTACTTGGAGATTCTCACCCGGCCAGGCACGACTTATTATCAAAGAACTACCTTTGACTTTCAAGGAATTGGAAAATGCGAATTTCTCATCCAAGCTTTTAAAGCATGATGAGCTGAGCTCCGTTGTTGAGATGGTGGACTTTGAAAATGATTGGGATTGTTGTAAGATTCAAGCAAATTTTATCGAAGGTGGTCTTTTGCTATGCATATCGATTCTACATATTGCTATGGATGGTGCGTCTATTACACGGGTCATACAAGACTTGGCACGATATACTTGTGATAATCGTGGACCGGTAGTGAAGATAATCCCAGCTACGCTGGATCGCTCTCGACTTTCGAGGTCGAGCTCCGTACCGGACATTGCGAAGATGCCGGCTTTCTTGATCATGAATGAAGCTTTTGATTTTACTTCAAGAGTAAAAGGTTCGATTTCA